CAAGAGAGCAATAATGGCATCATTCAGATTTATCTGTTTGCAGCAGATTCTCTTGTTAGACACTGCTTGCTTCTCACGCTTGCCATTTCATCGTGGCAATAGAGAAAACGATGCCGGTTATGCCGTAACAGAGGTAAGTGCTGCTCCTTGACATTTACACATACATGCAGCAACGATTATCTGAAAGATGCTATAGATGTAACAATTATTCCATCAAAGGCATTGACTCATGTCCAACCCGGAGAGTTTTATGGATTGTTTGATCTAACCCGATTTTGAAACAAAAGTAACATGCAAACATTTGATAAAATAATTCTCTGGGTAAAGCAACAGTAATTAACACTAACACTGACATAATTATGCTTATTCGTCAGACGAAATTACTCACATTTGACTTCATATCATCACTGCTGATGTTTACAAATGAATCTCCTTACAGAACAATAGATTGGCCTGATTTCCTTACGGCTTAATATTTCTGTTGGTGGCTTTGCTCTGTCAAGTGGATGAATCACAAGTTTTAGTTTCTGGGCACTAAGTGAGAGATCATCTTTCATACAGAGAGAGCGGAAAGCATTTCTCGCACTACTCACTACAGTAACATCATCTGCTTATTCTATGACAGCAGAATGTCAGGCCCAATGTCCGTTAATTGCATCTACCTAACAGAAGTAAGAAATTACATGCGTTTTGTTTTAAAATTCGGCTCATTCTCTTTAAATGATTTAGTGCCTATGCGCAGCTGAATCAACTGTCGCACGTGTTGTTCGCACGACAAATAATATTCCTAACAACCATTCATAATTTCTACAAGACAGCCTTACACAGCGCCTGTCTTGCAGCACTTGCACCAGATCTGCATTTGTTAACACGCTTTATCGGGCAAAGCCATGCAAGAAACCCATTATCTCAGGTACGGAACACATTGTAATACAGTCACAAGTTTCTATTTTACATCAATCACTATTAAATATTTAGCCTTCCATAATTTCCAATGACACCATAAGTTTATAATAATGGATGATAAGAGGAGAAGGATCTTGGACGGCAACTGAACAGAAAACCTAAAATAGCAAAAACATTAGTCATCAAAGAGCTTTAGAAACTTCGGTAGAGCATTTTTTTAATCAGAGTGAAATGCAGAAAAAGAACACTATGCATAGTAAACAAGTTGTATAGAAAGCGAACATTGCGGTTGGAAATTCATAGGTACAAAATTTCAGTGAAAGGGTTGAATAAAGCAAAATAAACAAACAGAGTGAAAGATGAAAACAGACAGCTGCATAAGCAATTCAATTTATGTAACATTTCATACGTGGAAACTTTTCAAATTGAGTTTGTTATTGACGCAGTCAGCCTCGTAAGAGTACATGATTGTGAATGCAGCGGACATCACAAAACAAAGACCTTCCACTTATGCTAAGTGCTCACTTTGATAATCTCATCACTCTTGGCCATTAATTTTTTGTGTGAATGCTTAAATATGATATTATTATGTAGCTTGGTTGGAGCAGTGAAACTTTCAGTCACTAGCACGTACTTATTTTACATTCTTTTTTACGATTACTGATTTTTATTTGTTATTTAAATTTAACGGCGAATTTTGCCCCTTTCAATAAACCAGAATTCGTTGAAAATTCTCACGTCGCAAAATTTTCTCTTTTAGTATTGCTTTGTAGACACATGAGTGTAAAGAATAAAATTGCTTAATGCGGATAAAAACTACTGTATTCATCTTGTTCCAAAGGTTCTATCTG